ATTTTCCACCAATCAGCCTGGAGTCCCATGCCCACCGCCCCGTGGACAAGGCCTGAGTCTCTGAGGCCCTAAAAGTGAGGTCTGTAAACATCTCCCAGGGCCCAGCCCCTGCCACCAAGAGGGGTAACCAGGCCCCACCCCCAGGCCTGGGTGCCCTCCCCTCCTCCACAGCCCCCAGGGACAGCTCTCCACACTGCATGGTCCTCTACTCAGGGCAATATGGTAAACTGATAAGCTTCCCCTCAAGAGTAGGAGCCCCCCCTTAAAAAGGGGGAGAGTCTGGAGAGTGCCTTAGAGGTTCCTGGCACAGTTCATTAAGATACCAACCATTAATGAAATATTTCTTTGTTAAAATCGTCATTTATCTTGGAGAACAGGGGCCTTTGTGGCAAAGAAAGAGGCTACCCCCTTCCATCCCTCCCCCACCTCCACCCAGCACAGATCCTCGGGTCTTTCTGAGTCAGAAAGGTTGGGAAGCAGGGTGGGGAGGGGCAGCTGGGAGATGGGGAGGAGAGAAGATGCCAGAGTGGAGGAACCACAAAAGGAAAGGGGGTCAGCTTGACTGGTCAGGAGGCAAAGGAGGAGAGAGAAGCAGAAGGCCCTGGGTGGCTGGGTGGAGAGACGCTGCTCAGAAGGAAGCCCACTGCAGTGTGACCACAATAGCCAAACGTTGGAAACAACCCAACCGTCCATCACTGGGAGGCTGGGTCAAGAAATGGCAGTGAACTGATGTGATAGAACGCAAGCCTTTTCAATGAATGACCTAGAGATGCACATAGCAAACCTGATTAATGTCAGCAACATGAAATTTAGTAAATGATACCACCAATAAATAGTGAAAGCAAGGAGCAGAAGGACAGTTTTTATTTAAAATTTCGAGACACCCAAGCCACACTAAATGTTTAAGAGCGTAAAACTTACTTGGGAAGGCTACCTCCCAGCTTCTGGAAACTGGCTACCTCTGGCAAAGGAAGGATGGAGAAAGGGAGGGAAGGATATGGAAGGTTCTTGACTTTATCAGCAACAATTTGTAGGCTTTTTTTTTTGAAAGCATAAAGAAAGGTGCACAGATCCTAAGTGTACGCCAGCTCAATTGTCACAAAGTGAACACACCCACGTAACCAAATCCCCAATTCAAAAACTACAGAACATTCCCAGTCCCCCAGGAACCCCTACTTACTCGCCTGCCTAGAGTAGCCACTCTCCGGAGTTCTAACACCTCGATTTTGTTCGACCGATTTTTGAATTTCAGATAGGCGGAATTTCTCTCTCACGACTGGCTTTTATGCTCAACATTCTGTTTGTGAGACTTCTCCCTGTTGCTGTGTGTGGCAATGGCCTGTTCATTCTCATTACCAAGTACTAGCCCGTGCACGAGACTACCAGCATTTATTCACCCATTCCACTGTTGATGGTTATTTGTGGAATGGCCGCTAAGACCATTCTAGTGTCTGTCTTTTGGTGAACACATTATGCATTTCTGTTAGTATATACTTAGGTGTTGAGACACTACATCATGCTGGTAAAGTTATATTCCTTAATTAACTAAAAAACGGTTTGGTGTTTTTGACTTTTTTTTTTTTTGGCCACGCCACGTGGCTTGTGGAATCTTAGTTTCCCGACCAGGGATGGAACCGGGCCCATGGCAGTGAAAGCACTGAGTCTTAACCACTGGACCACCAGGGAATTCCCTTAAAAAACGGTTTTGAAGAGGGAAAAGAAGTAAAATTCAAGAAATCGGATGACTGGAAACATAAAATACCTGGGTCTAGATGTGTTGGGACTGTGGGAATAAAAGGACCGACTAATGTTTCTGGACATACACACACACCCAGTGCCAGGCCTGGTACTAAGAACAAGCTCACCCACTAACCCACTGCATCCCCACAACAGGGAGGCAGCTGACCCTGGGAAAGGGCAACTCTTCAGAGCAAGAAGACCTGTGAGTTAGTCCTTGCTGTACCATCTTCTAGCTGTGTGACCTGGGGCAAGTTGCCTCACCTCTCTGAGCTTGAGTACCTCACTGTAAAATGAGAAAAGCCTCTATGCCAGGGGCGATGCAGCCAAATAGCATGTGAATCAAGTACCTGACATACAGCAGGCCCTTACTAAGTATCAACTGCAGATGTATGTATGCTTTGCAGTTTTGTGAAGTCAGTATTCTCATTTTTAGGTGAGGAAACTGGAGCTCACAAAACGGAAAATGAGTGTTTATGGAAAGTATCTGATGAACAGGTCACAGAGTTAGATGCTTTGCCCGGGCTTTTTCATGTCACCCTCCCAACCCCCCAGAAGGCATTCTCCCAATGTCGTGGATGAGGAAACTGGCTCCATCCTGTAACTTGCCTGGATCACACAGTTGGTAAGTGACAGACACTGAAGTTCAACCCTAGGCTGTCTCACTCCAGTCTCTGTGCTCTTAACCATGGCCTCCATAGTAGGACAGGCCATGGGTCTCGGTTCTTGCCACACCACAGCCTAGACCTTTTGAAGGAACAAGGGCAGAAAGAGGACCCTCCTGCCTGTTCCCAGGCACTCTGGTTCAGGAGCCAAGGGCCACTTTTTTGAACCTTCTCCTAGAGGTCCTGCATCAGAAGGAGGGGCTTTGGACTGGCTGCTTTAATTTTGGGGTGTGTGTTCTGTATCTTTCTTTGGTTTTATGCTCAACATTCTGTTAGTGAGACTTCTCCCCCTTGAGGCTTTGCTTCCTCATTAAAATGCCCTTTAGGTGAGGCCCAGACAGGATCCTTTGCCTCCCTTGGGCCCCCCACTGTGACTCACAGGGTGCTGGGAACTGAACTGGCCTGGAGATGAGGGTAAACTGAAATGAAAGCCAAAGCATTTCCTAGGGAAATCCCTTTGGCACGTGAATCCACGTGTGAGGTATGGAGGGCTGCCGCAGGAAGGTGATGGGAAAGGATGCAGTGGGCATGACAGCCAGCCAGAGAAGCCCACTGGAGGTCACCTCATTCCTTCTTTTGTATTGAAAGTCCCTAGTTCTCACCTGACCTGAAGCCTCTGTAGGATGGATGGAAAGGAGACCTGAGGGGCATGGCGTGGTCATAATCCAGCTGGGCTTACACAAGAACCTGCCAATTCCAGGCCATGCCCGGGCCTGTCCACACACCCTGACTCCCACCAGCGCTGACTCTCCATAGAAAATAAATAGAGTCACACCACCAAAGGCTTCCTTTCTCCCAAACTATACTCCTCAGGTAACCCACAAGCAGGCAGTACTGCTTTAAAGGCCTCACAGAAGTAGCTCTGGTTGAAATCCTGCTTCATCACTTACCAGCCGGGTAAGCCTGGACAGTGACTTAACCGTTTTGTAAAATGGAGGTAATAGTACTATCTACTTATAGGGTTATTGTGAAGATGAAATGAGTCCTATGCCTGGCATGTGGTACGACTCAAAGGTTAGCTGTGGTTATTTTATTCTTATTGCTTCTGCTCTGGCTACACTGGAAAGGACCCTGTGGTATCCACATAAATGGTGCTTAGGGTCCTCCTCCCAACAATTTCACACCTAGCTATTTGAAATACTCCAGCAGAAGCTGAATATGCCTGTCACACCTGCCCTGTGTAGGGCAATACAGAGGATCTAGACCTGGACAGATAGCACTGGCATTACAGCTCCTTCTGGCTATTGTACCCACAGAAAAGGGATGGAATAAGGGATGGAGAACCCAAGGGGGAGCCTCCTCTCTTTTTCTTCCAAGCCCCATTGGAGAGGCTTCTCCTCCAAGAAATTCCCTCTCCCCAGGACACAGCCCTGGTATATCCTAAGCTCCAATCCCTGAAGCACCCCCAGCTCACATTCCACAGGATCATCCTGTGTCTGCCCGTCTCCACCTGCCTCGGGTGATTTGGGGCAGGAGAGCCTTCTAGAGCCACGGCCTTCCTGCCCTTCCCCCCACAGCTGGGTCCTCCCTTGGTCATGGGCACTCCTTTGACAACCCCTGAGGTGTCCCTCACCCCTCCCCACTGCAACACACAGAGCCAGACCGGAGATGTTCTGGGGGTGGAAGGCGGGGGGAAGGATTTATTCAGGTTTCCACGGGTCTCTGAGTGGGGCGCCTGCTACCAGCACAGCCCTCCCCCTTGGATCTGGGGCCTTTCCTCATCCAGACTTCCCCCTCCCAACCCAAATACACACCTTGGCTACCGCCACAATCCCTCCGATTCCTCCCCGCACCCTACCCCGCCCTCAGGCAAAAGACGTTGAGTTTTGTTTACAATCTAATTTGTCCGGATAATTGCTTCTACTTTGCACTCCGCTCTGCCCGCGTGGGTCCGGCTTTGGGCCCTTTCTTCACCGGTTCGCAGAGCACTTTATGGGAAATTCCCCTTCCGGAGAGGGAGGCGGCGCGCGCCCGGGGTGACCGTTCACAAAGCCCAGAAGGAGCCTTCCCACCTCCCCCACCCCCCGGTTCAAAAGCCCACCCCCAGCCCCAAGCAGTGGGGCGCAGAAGGGAGAGGAGGAAGGACACCGGCTCCGCGCTCTGGGCCCCCCGGCCACTCCCTGCATAGGGCGCAGCCCGCCGGGAACCAGTGAACCGTGTGGGAGCAGGGCTTGGCCGTACCTCCAGACTCCAGGGAAAAGCTGGAGCTTGCAAAGCGCGCCAAGGGATTCGCAAGGCCAGTGTGAATCCCTGGGGTCTCTCCACCTCCCCCCCCTCCTTTTTACAGGATCGCAGCCCTACGTCTTCTCCCCAGATCCCCACCTTTTCTACCCCTAAAGTTTGGTCCACGTGGTCTCCTCTCGCTCACGACTTGGCTGCCGGGCAGGGTGAAAGTTGCTGCACCTGCTTTAGGTGAATTATGGTAGCGCTAGAAGTTGGCCTCCCTCCCTCCGCTGCTCGCTCGCTCGCTCCCTCCTCCTTCGCTCTCCGCGCGCTCCCTCCTTCCCCCTCCTCCCTGCCCCCTCCCGCCCCGCCCGCGCGCCGCCCGCTCGCAGCCACTCGCTGCCCGGGCTCAGTCGCAGCCCCTCGGAGTCCGGAGCCGGCCGCCCCTGCGGACCGGACTGTGCGGCCGGCGGCCGGGACGTAGCCCCCAGCCCGCGAGGAGGGCGCGGCGCAGGCGGCGGCGGCGCAGCGGGGAGGAGCCCGGGCCGGAACCAGGGCTGGGCCGGGGGCGGGGACGCCGGGGTCCCGGAGCCCCGGCGCCCGAGCGAGCGAACAAGCGTCGCGGGAGGATCGGGAAGGAGGAGCACAGCCGGAGCAAGCCGAGCTGCCCCCAAAGTGCGATGCCCCGGCGAGGGTAGGGCGCGCGGCGGCCGGCCGGCGCGGCGCGGAGGGAGGACGCCCGGGAGCTGCGCGGCGCCGAGCGGCGCGGAGGGGCAGTCCCAGCGGGCGGCGGCGGGCCCGGGCGGCGACCGGAGCGAGCCCCATGCCCCGCGCGGGCTGACGGGCCGGAGCCCGCACGGAGCGGCCGGGCCGGACAGGTAGGTGGCTGGCCGAGCTCGGGGACGCGGGTGGGGGCTGGGCCGGCGACCAGACCAACTCCCTCGCTCGCGCACTCTCTCGCCCGCTCACTGGCTCACTTTGTGTTTGCAAACTGCCCGCGGGAGACGCGCCGGGAGGAGCCGGGCCCAGGCCGGCGCACTTTGTTCCAGCCGGGGCCGGCTGCGGCGCCCTGACCCAGCGCAGCCGCGACACCCACCCCGCCCCGGCTCAGGCCCCCGTGGCCCGGAGCTGCCTGGGGAACAGGTGGGGGCTACGGCGCGGCGCCGGGGGGGCGGGCAGAGGAGGTCGGCAGGGGTTGGGGGGGCTGGAAAGGCTACTATGGCCCGCCCTACCCGCAAGAATCTAGGACCGGCCTCCTCCCGGCCTGGCCGCGAGGAATGGGGTGTCTGGGGGCGCGACCACCCCCCCGCCCCGAGTCAGACAAAGAGTACTTCCCAGCCCGGACTTTCCTGAGCCGGGGAGGGAAGTGGTGAAGTGGGCTCCCCTAACCCCAGTCTGTCCAGGACTCCCCAAGACGCGCCGGAGGCAGATAGATGGGGGGGCACCGCGGTCCTATCCAACGCGTCGCCTTAGGTGAGGAGGGGACTTGGTTTGCTGGGGTCGCACCCCGGAGGTTCCGGGGCCAGTCAGCGCCTTTCCGCCATACCTGGGTCGGCTGGGAGATAGAGCGGAAAACTTCTTGGGGACTTGAGAGCGTCTGGAAACGGCCCCTTGTGATTTTGTGCGCCGGTGCTGACGGGTGGGGGGTTGACCCGGCCGATATCTTCATTCACTCCATTTGGGGAGAGACCCGCCTCACCATGTAGTGGGGAGAGAGGGCGGCAGCAGGGTTCGGAGGCCGCCAGGGAAGAGTGCCCCGGGATAACCAAGCAAGACCCCCCTCAGATCCAGGACTGTGGCCTCTCCCCTGGACAGCCCCCTGGCAGACACCTCTCTTTGAGAGGCGGTCACCTCGGCAGCTCTCGAGTCTTAAGCTCCCCATCAACGCCAAACTAACTAACTTGAGCTGAGCCCAGCTACAGCTCGAGGCGCTAGAATGCGGGGCGCCCTGAGCGACCTGGGGTCCCGGCGTCCCCGGCAAAGGATGCGATTTCGCGGGAGGCGGATTCTGAGTCAGAGGCCCTGACGGCTGCGGATTCCTTCTTTCCAACTGGGGCGACCTCGTGAACCCATCGGCGTCTCACCCGGACTGTCTAGGTTAGGGGAAGAGGATACGGGAGCGCGGAGACCCTGAGCCCTTAGAACACCCGGCTCGTCCCTTTGCACCGCGGGCCTCTCTTGCCATCCCCCGCCTGACTGATTTCCTCGCTCACTCCGTGTCTGGGGTTTAAGGCGTCTGGAGATCACCGCGTGTCTCGCACCCCAGCGCCGGGTCTCCCTGCTTATTGACCTCGGAGCCTGGAGCAGGGGTTGGAGGTGGGGTACCCGGAGGAGAAAACCCAAGTCTGAAGCTGTCATCCCCGTGGTGGCTGAGAAAGCCCAGGAGCATTTTGGCCAATGCGGGTTTTCACTTGAACTTCAGCACCTTCATCCCGTGTTAAAGCGGACGCCTGGATTGTCCTAGGGCGAACTGTGTTGGGTCTGGGATTGAGGGCCTTGGGAGCGCAGTTTGAGAGGCAGTTAGGGTCGGAGCTGGAGGCTCACCTGGGTGCCCCCTTCTCCCACCCAGAAGGAAGGAGCTGTGGGATCATCTGTACCGCCTGTAGCCACGGGAGGGTCTGACCAGTCCCATTGTGGAGCACAGTGGGTAATGGAGACCTCGACACCAAGAATTTGAACCCAGAAGCTCACTTTTGGGACTGAGCGCTGCTGGCGCTGGGCATTTCAAGCCGATGACCCTCCTGGTGAGCTAGCGGGTGGGTGCAGGGGCCCAAGGCCCAACAAGCTGGCCAGGCCCCAGCTGCCCTAAGGAGAGCCCCCCACCTCAGACAGCCCCTGCCCCAGACAACCCCTGCCCAACCTGGCAGAAAACCGCTGCAGGGGATGGGAAATCCACAGGCTTACTTTGTTTTTATTTTTGTTTTAACTTTGTCTTGCCTGGGTTCTGGGGCTCTTTGTCACCTGGCAGGAGGGAGGGAGGGCCCTGAGACTGTGCTGTGGGCACCTGGACAGCTTGCTCGCTCTGGCACCCTTAGATCTGAGGCTCTCAAAAGCAGGGCTATGTCTCATGGGGCTCCCCATTTGGCATCACTCCCCCTCTCATCAGTGGGGCAGCGTGGCAGGGGGAGGAGGTGGCTCTAGAGAGTGCTCCCCGCCAACTCAGGACCCCTGTAAGATGTGAATCTCTCCTGGATCCCCCCCCACACTACCTTAGCCCCGTCCCAGTTTTGACACTAAACTGGGGGGGGACCATGGGAACCTTCTCTCCTGGCACTAAGTGCTGGGCCCCTGGGTGGGGTTTTCTGTCCTTCTCCCAGTCCTGGGCAGGTTTTGCAGGAGTTATGGAGTTGGTGAACCCATGAGCCCTGCGGGGAGAAAGGCCTGACACCAGTGCTGGGGGGTGGGGGGAGGGCAGGTTGGGCCTAACTTGAAAAAGGACCTGTCCCTGTCCCTTTCTGTGTAGGTACACTTCTCACACCTAGACATCCCTACCCCAACCTCCTTCCCTGTGCCTTTAGCCAGAAACTTCCTTTCTGGCTGCTGGCAGGTAGATCCCTTCTTGCCAGGAATGTGCATATCCTGCTGGGCCCCTACTCCAAACACACCTCTTCCTTAGGGGCCGGAAAGGAGGGGGGAATCCTTTAATCCATTAATTCCCCAAAGGTTTGCTGAGCCCCTATTCTGTCTGGGCAGGTCCCAGGCTGGGCACTGGTGTGCCCAAGCAGTGAAGGCTGGGGTCTGCACATTGTCAGGGTAGGAGAGGCAGATAAGATATCACATTAGAGAGAGGAGGGTGGGAGCAGCGTGTCTGTTTCAGAGGAAAGGTATGAGGTGCAAGCGGGGAAGGGCCATCTCCCCAAGAAGGCTTCCCTGATCTTCCACACCTGGAGGAGCTGCACCCTCCTTCCCTGCATCCTAAACCTTTGCTGCCCCACTGCCTTGGCAGCTTTCCTGTCTCTCCAGCTGAAATGCAAACCCCTCCATGCCCATCCCAAGCAGGCACAATGTCTTTACTTTTCTAATAACCCAAACTGTGCAAAGTAATCATTTCTTCCAGCCAAGGAGCTCCGCACAGTTTCCTTTCAAAATCTCCCAGCTTCCCAGACCAAGGCAGGGCAGGCACTGTTTTTGACAGGATTCTGAGGCTCCGACGGCTGAAATGACTTCCTATGACTTGGTTCCAGAACCTGGAACCCAGGGCAAGGAACTCAGGCCTCCCCAGGGCAGAACATGGGTCACAGGGGAAAAGCCTTTGGAACTTGCCAGTGGTGATGGGTCTCTGAAGAACTTAGTTAAGCTATTGGAACCTCAGTTTTCTTATGTGTAAGGTAGGTCAGTGATAGCCGTTTAGAGCCTGTTTGGGAGCAGGACGGAAGAGCAGACATGAAGTACCTAGCATAGTGCCTGGTGCAGGGTAGTACTGACCAAGGGGTGGCTTTTATTATTAGATTCCCAGCACCGCCAGGCCACGTGCTGGACTGAATACTGGAAATTAATCTCCATTTTAGGGGTTTGGAAAATGAAGCCCAGAGAGAAGAAGCAACTTGTCTGAGGTCACACAGTTAGTTAGTGGTAGGGCTGGGACTGACATGTGGGGCTCCTAGGACTCCCAGTGTAACCGGTAGGCCTTGAGACTCTGCTGTGGGGAAGGGAGAAAGGAGGGGATGGGAGGGCCTGCCACTCCCCATCCCTTCTTCAAAAGCTCAGGCCTGCGTCCCCCTCAGCCCTCCAACGAGGGGGCTGGGTTTCCTCCTCCTGTCTTCCCTTTAAGGGAAGGTCTGGGCTCAGAACTTGACATTTCCCACCTGCACATGACCCTGGAAGGTCCAGTCATCCCCCCTCCCCACAACATCCTAAGGTGCTCATGGAAGCAAAAGTGAGAGGGATAGTTCCCTAGAACACAGAGGAGGAAACATGGCCGGCACCACCTTTCTCCAAAAAGGGAGACTTTTTATGGTTTGGAACCCTGGCTTATCCAGCGTTATGGAAGACAAGCTTGGCAGGCAGTCTCACATCAATCTGGGACCTACTCCTGGATGGATCATCTTAAAGAAACAAAAAGAAACTTCCCTTGAGTGTGAAGTTTCCGCCTCTTTCAACATTGTCTCCCTGGATTCTCCATGGAAATGCACACCTTCACCCACGGCCAGTTCTGCCCTGCTGGGGTTACAGCAGGAACCCTCTGCTCCAAACCCTGAGGCTTGCAGACGCGGTGGTCTTGTGAGATGGCGTTTCGTGGGCCCTGTGCAGAGCCTGGACTCGGGGCATGCCTGCCTGAGCTGGAAATGAAGAGCTCCTAGCACAAAAGGTGCCCATTTGGACAAGGCCACAGGGTGCTGAGCCATAGAGTCAAAGCATCTGGTCCCTCAAAGGAGTGAGCCATTCAAGCCTGGGCCGGGCTGATGCCCTTCCTTCCTTTGTTCCTTGTCCCAGGATGACTCCTCCCAGGATCTTTACCTGGCTGTCCCTTGCTCCAGTGCAGCCTGGTGCCTTTCTTCTCCCCAGCCCTGGTCATAGCCATGCAGCCTGTTCCCCAAATCCCAGCAGCTCTGCCCACCTCCCCAGGCCCCATCCTCTGTCCAGCTGAAGCCTCCCAAGCTGGGGGACCTGAGGGTGTGTGGAGTCGTTGGTGGTGCAGGACATGGGGAAAGTCTTCTCTCCTACTTGGAGTTTTCTGATGGCACCTGACCTGGGCTACGGTGCAAATGGGAGGGAGGGGAGGGGAGATGGTTTTTCCTCAGACAGTAACAAAGTGAGGTGTGTAGACCAGTGACCCTCTGCATTTGTTCAAGGTAGGCAGGGTCAGCGGGTGGAAATTACCCAGAATTCCCCCCGGCAACGAGGGAGGGACAAATGGTGGTGACAGGAGGGCAGGGTG